TGTCCACTTTTACGGATGTTCCGGATCTTCCGGAGGACGGTCCCATGGCCATCCAGGTACATGTTTATGTCACGACTCCAAATGTTTTTTTACAGTTCCTAATGTTTTCAAAAAAAACCACAGAGCTCTAGGATCAGGTTCATGGATTGAGCACTTTTACGGATGTTCCGGATTTTTTGAGGACCGTTCCGTTGTCTCCAGGATCCATATATAGGAACAATGACTGTATTCTGGCTAATTGTGAACGCTTGTGCCCATTAATCTAAATTACAGATCTTGCGCCACTTGCAAAACCTTACAAACACACCTTTCAAAAAAACGTGTAACAACTCTTTTCGCGTTTTAAAAAAGTAGACGACTCTATTTCCAATCTTTTTGCAATCAAAATCATCTACAAACCCTAGGAATTCTGAAAGTACAAAATTTTTTGAAATTCACTTAGAAATGGCTAAGTTATGACATTGCAAACTTGCCGTTACACGTTTTTCGGAGGCTTCGTAGTCGGCGTAAAGTTTTTTACCCACCGTATTCGGAGTGTTAATAACTCGGCTCCAAAAACATGGTCAGCTTTCTTTATTGTCCAATACGTTTAATAATACTTTCATTTAACAGAGTATGTAGAAAAACTATCCCGAAATATGAATGCAGCCAAGTTATTAACGAAAGAGAGAGTCGATGAAGAGAATCGATTAATGTAGATTGGTCTATTTGAAAAGTGATTCATCTTGACATCTATAGACATAGACGAGTGCACGGATGGATTTGAGTTCACTCACTCGACAAAAAGTGACACAACAGCGGGGCCCTGTTTACTAAAAATGAACACATGAATAATACTCACGCACGGACAGAAAATTGTTTGCATTGAACCAAAAAAAATTTTAATTGTATTTAAGCAAACAATTCCAGTTGAAATTATATTGCTTTTTGTTGTTTCAATAATACTTATTCATATAAATTCAAAATAGGATTCTTTTTGTTTTAATCACCCACTTTTCAAATGCAACTATTGTAAAAATAACAATATTCTATTATTAAGCCAACAATAGTTAATTTTAATTTAGCATTTATTTGCTGTGTCCATTCTCTGGGCCATGAAAGCAAAAATAACTACCAACCATTCCCTCGTTTTCACCCGTTTTCAAATTTAAACAATAAAAATACTTACGCGTTCCACGTAAGTATTGTTTTTAATTGTAAATTTCGGGAAATAAGTGCGAGATTTTCGAAAATCTTGAGACTTGAGTTAAGTAAGTATGCTGCAATTCGAGCTGCAGTTGATAAATATAATCAATTTTTCTGTTTTTTTCCTTTATTTTTTTCCGTCGATCTTGTTTTCCGTACTGAGTACCAATGCTCCCGACGCCAGGAAGGCAGCTCCCACATCTGGACCCTAAATATCGACCCATCAACTCATGAACCGGAGGCAGAAATTCAATTACAATTTCTGCAATTTTGTTTCAAAATGAAAACGAAACATAAAAAAAAAATTGCCATATTATTTTTACATCAATAAACACATTTTTATTTCTACTGCGTGAATTGTCAGATTGAATCAACAAGAAATCTCTTTTAAAAACAAACATATTTTTGTTGTTGACCCAGCTGCCAAATTTGACAGCTTACGTCAAAACCATGAAAGCTCTTGTAAATTCTAAAAGATTTTCTTTTTGATTTAACAATCCATGGGTTTTTAGAAACAAAAATACTGGATTGTTGAAACAATAATGATTTCTTTTTGCAGCCAAAACAAAATGAATTTCTTATTGATTTTACGTCAAATATTATTACTTTTAAAATATTTTTTTCTGCGTGCGTAACATTTGAAACCGGCCTATCAACTTTCGTACACAAAACTTGTTAAGCCTTTTTCGCGCGAACCGAATACGCCCACGCAAACTAACATCACCATCGGGTAGGGGAAATTCCCCCCTTTCCGATAGTGCTCTTGGTTTGCGTGGACGTACTTTGGTTCTCGTGGAAAGGACCTAGCAAATTATTTACAAAAGTTGATAGGCCCTTTTCAAATGTTACGTGAGCATTATTCATGTGTTCATTTTTAGTAAACATGGCCCCGCTGTTGTGTCAAATTTTTTTCAGTAGATGAACAAAAGTTCACCCGTGCACTCGTCTATTAGGTACTGCAGCGTGACGTCACAAATGAACTCAGTGTTAATCGGCTGAACCTTTTTGACAGTTCAGTGGTACTGTATACAGACACTTAGTCGTTTTTTCGAAAAAAATATATTTTTAAATTTCCGAATTTTAACTTGAAAATTATCGAGGAAATGCGTGGTGAAAGGATGTTGCTCGTGGACAATGCAAAAGTGTGGTTTACATCTCACTGCAATCTGAAAAAATATCCAGAAAATCTACCCAAGAAAAAATTGACTAAGTCCACGTAAACAGTACCACTGAACTGTCATCAGATTGAGGTTAACCCCGACGGTGCAAAACCTAATTGACGAGTGCACGGATGGATTTGAGTTCACTCACTCGACAAAAAGTGACACAACAGCGGGGCCCTGTTTACTAAAAATGAACACATATGTGTTCATTTTTAGTAAACAGGGCCCCGCTGTTGTGTCACTTTTTGTCGAGTGAGTGAACTCAAATCCATCCGTGCACTCGTCAATTGCACAATAAGGTTTTGCACCGTCGGGGTTAACCTCAATCTGACAGTTTAGTGGTACTGTTTACGTGGACTTAGCCGATTTTTTCTTGGGTGGATTTTCTCGATAATTTTTCAGACTGCAGTAAACCACATTTCTGCAATGTTCACGAGCAACATCCTTGCAATGCGCTGTTCCTCGACAATTTTCAAGTTAAAATTCGGAAATTTTAGAATTTTTTTTTTCGAAAAAACGACTAAGTGCTTGTAAACAGTACCACTGAACTGTCAAAAAGGTTCAGCCGATTAACACTGAGTTCATTCGTGACGTCACGCTGCAGAACCTAATGGGCCGTATGAATAAAAAGAGTTTACTTTACTTTCCCGTGCTTTTCTTACGGGGAAAGTAAAGTAAACGCTTTTATTCATACGACCCAATTAGGTTCTGCAGCGTGACGTCACGAATGAACTCAGTGTTAGCCGGCTGAACCTTTTTGACAGTTCGGTGGTACTGTTTACAAGCACTTAGTCGTTTTTTCGAAAAAACAATATTCTTAAATTTCCGAATTTCAACTTGAAAATTGTCGAGGAACAGCGCGTAGAAATGATGTTGCTCATGGACATTGCAGAAGTGTGGTTTACATCTCACTGCAGTCCGAAAAATTATCGAGAAAATCCACTCAAGAAAAAATCGACTAAGTCCACGTAAACAGTACCACTGAACTGTCATCAGATTGAGGTTAACCCCGACGGTGCAAAACCTAATGTTGATAGATAACTGTCTTTTACACTCAAAGATAAATTAAATCAAAAAAGCTTAAAAAGTATGCAGTTTCCCGCTTCACCTTATTGAGTCCGAGCCATGATTACTTTGGCAGTAGTCATGCATGATTAAAATCGAAATAATCTTTCCATTATTAAATTTTATTCTTTTTCAATACTGATATATAATAAAAAAAAAGATTAAAATTCAATCAAAAATGTTTAAAATAGAATCAAAAATGATTAAAAAATATTCAAAAAAAGATAATCTACAATCTAATCAACCATGATTAAACTGGGATTAATATCAGATGCTTATTTTTAAGAAAGAGATGATTAATTTTTTTAATCATTCGATATGATTAAACTGAGTTTAGTGTCAAATTGATTAAATTTCAAGCAAAATGGGAATAGTTCAATTTATCAGTGTAGCTAAAACTTGTTTCAGTTAGCGGACTTTAAAGTTGATACAATTATTTAACGTGTACAGGCCCCATTAGGTTTTGCACCGTCGGGGTTAACCTCAATCTGATGACAGTTTAGTGGTACTGTTTACGTGGACTTAGCCGATTTTTTCTTGGGTGGATTTTCTCGATAATTTTTCAGACTGCAGTGAGATGCAAACCACATTTCTCGCGTCACTTTTCAAATAGACCAATGTAACATATCCACCATTTTGAGAAAATCGAAGTTGAAGTTCGACAGATTATTAATTTAACTGTTTAAAAACAATACATTTTGCAATACTATTTTTAATGTAGCCAGTGTATTATTAAGTTGAAAATTCAGAAGAAACGGTTAAATCACAATTTTACTTTGAATTTCATGCTACAACATAGAAAAAACCACATAGGACGTTTTGACAAGTAGAGTTGTACATCGGACATGTTACATTGGACGATTTTTCTCAATGACATAATCAATGAGTGTTACATTGGACGTTTTGTCTACATGATACTAGATTCCCTTTCACAGATTTCAGAGTATAGTACCTAACTTTAGATTGGCCCCGCCTTTGAAAAATGAGCACCAATCATGTTAGGCAGTCCGAATGACCGAAGTAACAATTATGTACCCATCATTTCAAACTGTACATTGGACAATTTTTTACCTATGATTATCTTAAATAAATGAAAGTGAATTTGGATGGATGTTTTTATATCACATACAATGATAGAAGAGCAATAGTTTGTATCGCTTAACTCGGTTTGTTTACATTTGTTACATTGGTCGATTTGAAAAGTGACGCGAGATTTCTGCAATGTTCACGAGCAACATCCTTGCAATGCGCTGTTCCTCGACAATTTTCAAGTTAAAATTAGGAAATTTTAGAATTTTTTTTTTCGAAAAAACTACTAAGTGCTTGTAAACAGTACCACTGAACTGTCAAAAAGGTTCAGCCTATTAACACTGAGTTCATTTGTGACGTCACGCTGCAGAACCTAATTATCGGGTTCAAATTTACACGAGATGATGATGATGATGATGATGTTTTAGCTTGCATCTCTATTCGCAACTCTATAAATACCACAAACACTACGATTTTGTGTATGTGTGTGTGTATGTTTGTATTATGTCACTCTTACCCCTCTGACCACGGATTGTGACATATGTCATTGTGCTGATGAAAGAAGTGTATAAGGAGGAATTGTGAAAACATAAAAAAACTGTTTGCTTTTATTAAATCTTCATATGTATTAACTTCATGATTCAATCGGATTCTTGCTATTTTGGACATTATCAGAAATATGAAATGCGGAAGTATTATCGTTCTTGTGCGTTTCTCAAGTTGAGTGCTGGTGTAAAAAAGCTGTTTACAAAATTTGCATCAAACGATGGATCATGGACGCATCGTGCTACTGGAAGAGCCTCTTCATCATCGACGTACTAAATTTTAAAGAATTATTCTAGTTTTAAAATAAGTTCGCATTTAAGGGTTCGAATCATACCGTAAGTATCGTATGTCTTAGGCCGTCTTAAACCTTGCATTAAGTAGATTGAATCTCAATGATTACGCCAGCTCAGACCCACTTCAATGGCAGCGAAGGCTCTTCAAACTTATTTCGAATTAGTGGGAGACGTGCAAATTGACACGTTTGTCTTTTCGTAGATTGCATTATAAATCATATTATACTTGTATTAATTTCAATGAGATCCTTCCAATACTCTAGAAAAAGTTTTGTTTATCGGGATTTACCGTGTTGGTTTATTTTTATGTAATTTGAAAATGCTGAATGTGAAGCAATACAGTGGGTACACCGACACTATAAATATGTATATGTATTTAGTGTGGTTGACTCGTCTCTAAGATAACCAGCACAGGTTGCCTACATTTAAGCTCTTCTAACAATGGTGAACTCAATTTGATGCTGCGTTAAGAACGTCTTCATGTGCCATGTAAGCAATTTTTACATCGAATTGAAATACTTTTCTGCAAAGTTGTGCATATAATCACGAATATATGTGACAAATTGTGATAATTAGGTGATTTGTAAAAAGTTAAATTCCATTGGTACAATAAAAATAGATTTTTATGGCGTGTCATTTGCTATTGTTGCTATATTTACGTTTAAATTTTGGGTGGTGTACGATAAGATTTTTCTACATAGTGTACTGCATTCTGATAAGTGAATCACATTAATTATTTTAAAAATGTTTCAGGTGTTCCATGGAAAATGGTTAGATCATTATTGCAGAAAAAAATGTGCTACACAAATTTTCGCATCACACATTTGATATTTGGTGTTATTATATTAGCGACCATAATATTCTATTCCACTCTGAATAGTCGACAATTTGATATACCCTTGAAACGATATCCGGAGCCACGCTTGAACAGCTCAGAAAAGTACTATGCAGCGTTTCAAATGGCAAATTCGACATCACGTACCGTGCAACTACAGGCGAAACAATCAAACAGGAAAAATTGTGGATTTTTTACCTTCCTAGCTAGTGGCTGTGGTTCATCAACTAACATTACAAATGTGTTGCGGAAACTAGGTGAAGTAAACCTAATCTCGAATGAGTCTACGGTTAAAGAAGATGCAGAAATTGATAATATACAACGAATAGACAAACTATCCGAATCTCAACCAGTAGATGATTCAAAGAAGCATAATTTACCTACTGGAAATAGTTCTACATCTACCAAGACGGCCGTCTCCATACCCGTTGAAAGCACGACGGAGAAAGTAGTTAAGACCAAGGATATTTATGAACGGGGGCACATGAATGACCCAGCTAGTATTAATAATATTTGCCCGAACAAAGGTTCAGATGTAAATCTACTCATTTTGGTTACATCGGCTCCTACTCACCGCGAACAAAGGTTGTCCATACGACAATCCTGGGGACATTACGGTATACGCCGAGATATATCCATTGGATTCGTGCTTGGACGCACGTCAGATCAGCGTATCGAGGATCAACTGTCGGCGGAAAATTACATGTACAGTGATTTAATAAGGGGGAATTTCATCGACAGCTACAGGAATCTCACTCTAAAAACGATATCTCTACTCGAATGGACTAGCATCAATTGTCCAAATGCAACCTATCTGCTGAAAACCGACGATGACATGTTTATAAATGTGCCGAAATTGCTGCAATTCATCGAATCTCATCTGAGTTATAAGCGTTCGATATTCGGACGATTAGCCAAGAAATGGAAACCAATCCGGAACAAAAAGTCCAAGTATTATGTCAGTCCGGAACAGTATTTTCCTCCAGTATTTCCACCTTTTACTACCGGTATGTATTATTCTATATTTATACGTTATTCTGTCTCAGTTCTAAAGAATTTATTTAACATGTTTCAAAAACGTACAGTAAACCGGGAGCAACTATTTTGTTTTGTTTGGTCAAAAATATTGGCAGTGTAATTATGGAAGAACTCTCTCTATAATGTCGTATTTATGGTCATTGTAGACAGCTATAGTGTTGGCTATAGTCGGGGAGTTAGAAGGTGATAGCTTTATTGCAGATCCAGCATCCCATTTCAGAATGTCTGGAGAGTCACGCCCATTCCGAAGTTACTTTCACTTAAAATAAGGCCCACATGTATGGATTACCTCTATCAATTGGATATTAGTATTACACACAAAATGTTCTTTTGAATCCTGGCACGTATTTAGTTTTTTTTTAAATTGTAAAAAGTCTTTGGACTGGTCTCACCATGTTAATGTGATCCTCCAATCAATCCAAGGGTTCCGTAGATTTGTTTTTCTCTACGCTATCCAGCGAGACATCATTCAGATTGCTCGCATTCCCCGACACCGGTGAGAGACCAGCAGCCGAGCACTTTCGCAAGCGGAAAACTTGCTGATTCACGGCAGCGTCGGCCACCTAATCACCACCAAAACTCGCGACGGATACATTATCAGCACGTTCCCGAGATAATTCACCAACCGGACCGAGTTTGCCCACGGTGATGAATCTCCCAATATAACTACACGCCGAAAGTGTGGCATGCAATCTCGGAGAACCGGGCTCCCGGGAGGCAATGAAAATCAACACCGAACAATGAAACTGAAGCTGCATCATAGATTTTGGAGGTTAGATTCAAAGTTAACCGAGTCACTCAAGGCAAACACAGGAAAACACGATATATCACTAAATGATAACTTTATGCACACTGGAAACGAAATTTCAGCACACAAATTGAAGGGAAAGGGTGGTGGCAGGTGGTCTAAAATTGGTAAAAACTATGATTTCAAATGTGCTGATTTTCACTAATTCCACTAAGTCTGACTTCAATTTGAATTATTCCATTCCGACCACAACAAATTAAAACCAATGTCGACAAAGCTTCGGTCAAACCTATTACACTACATGCTAGTGTTAGTCAATAGCTTGGCCAGGTTTTGAAATAAAGAAATATTTTTTTGTGGAGATGGGTTATCAAGCCGAATATCACTAAGTCGAACGCCATACGGCTGAAGCGCCATCAAATGAGCCATTGAACCGAT